ATGGCTAGATGTGATCACATGACCCGAGTGGCTGAATGAGATCGATAGGTAGATGTGATCACATGAATTGAAGCTGAATGAGACCGATGGTTAGATGTGATCACATGACCCGAGTGGCTGAATGAGATCGATGGCTAGATGAGATCACATGACCCGAGTGGCTGAAGGAGACTGAAGGCTAGATGTGATCACATGACTCCAGAGGCTGAAGGAGACTGAAGGCTAGATGTGATCACATGACCCGAGTGGCTGAATGAGATCGATGGCTAGATGTGATGACATGACCCGAGCGGCTGAAGGAGACCGATGGCTAGATGTGATCACATGACCCGAGAGGCTGAGGGAGACCGATGGCTAGATGTGATCACATGACCCCAGAGGCTAAAGGAGACTGAAGGCTAGATGTGATCACATGACCCGAGCGACTGAAGGAGATCGATGGCTAGATGTGATCACATGACCCGAGTGGCTGAAGGAGATCGATGGCTAGATGTGATCACATGACCCAAGTGGCTGAAGGAGATCGATGGCTAGATGTGATCACATGACCCAAGAGGCTGAGGGAGACCGATGGCTAGATGTGATCACATGACCCCAGAGGCTGAAGGAGACTGAAGGCTAGATGTGATCACATGACCCGAGCGACTGAAGGAGATTGATGGCTAGATGTGATCACATGACCCGAGTGGCTGAAGGAGATCGATGGCTAGATGTGATCACATGACCCCAGAGGCTGAAGGAGACCGATGGTTAGATGTGATCACATGACCCGAGTGGCTGAAGGAGACTGAAGGCTAGATGTGATCACATGCCCCAAGTGGCTGAATGAGATCGATGACTAGATATGATCACATGACCTGAGCGGCTGAAGGAGACAGATGGCTAGATGTGATCATATGATCCGAGTGGCTGAAGGAGACATATGGCTAGATGTGATCACATGCCCCAAGTGGCTGAATGAGATCGATGACTAGATATGATCACATGACCGGAGCGGCTGAAGGAGACAGATGGCTAGATGTGATCATATGATCCGAGTGGCTGAAGGAGACAGATGGCTAGATGTGATCACATGCCCCAAGTGGCTGAATGAGATCGATGACTAGATATGATCACATGACCGGAGCGGCTGAAGGAGACAGATGGCTAGATGTGATCATATGACCCGAGTGGATGAAGGTGACTGAAGGCTAGATGTGATCACATGACCCAAGAGGCTGAAGGAGACTGAAGGCTAGATGTGATCACATGACCCGAGTGGCTGAAGGAGACTGAAGGCTAGATGTGATCACATGCCCCAAGTGGCTGAATGAGATCGATGACTAGATATGATCACATGACCTGAGCGGCTGAAGGAGACAGATGGCTAGATGTGATCATATGATCCGAGTGGCTGAAGGAGACAGATGGCTAGATGTGATCACATGCCCCAAGTGGCTGAATGAGATCGATGACTAGATATGATCACATGACCGGAGCGGCTGAAGGAGACAGATGGCTAGATGTGATCATATGACCCGAGTGGATGAAGGTGACTGAAGGCTAGATGTGATCACATGACCCCAGAGGCTGAAGGAGACCGATGGTTAGATGTGGTCACTTGCCCGAGTGGCTAAATGAGATCGATGGCTAGATATGATCACATGACCCGAGTGGCTGAAGGAGATCGATGGCTAGATGTGATCACATGCCCCAAGTGGCTGAAGGAGACCGATGGTTAGATGTGGTCACATGTCCCGAGTGGCTGAAGGAGACCGATGGTTAGATGTGATCACATGACCCGAGCGGCTGAAGGAGACCGATGGTTAGATGTGATCACATGCCCGGAGCGGCTGAAGGAGACCGATGGTTAGATGTGGTCACATGTCCCGAGTGGCTGAATGAGACCGATGGTTAGATGTGGTCACATGTCCCGAGCGGCTGAAGGAGACCGATGGTTAGATGTGGTCACATGTCCCGAGTGGCTGAATGAGACCGATGGTTAGATGTGGTCACATGACCCGAGTGGCTGAAGGAGACCGATGGTTAGATGTGGTCACATGTCCCGAGTGGCTGAAGGAGACCGATGGTTAGATGTGGTCACATGTCCCGAGTGGCTGAAGGAGACCGATGGTTAGATGTGGTCACATGTCCCGAGTGGCTGAATGAGACCGATGGTTAGATGTGGTCACATGACCCGAGTGGCTGAAGGAGACCGATGGTTAGATGTGGTCACATGTCCCGAGTGGCTGAATGAGACCGATGGTTAGATGTGGTCACATGACCCGAGTGGCTGAAGGAGACCGAAGGCTAGATGTGGTCACATGTCCCGAGTGGCTGAATGAGACCGATGGTTAGATGTGGTCACATGACCTGAGTGGCTGAATGAGACCGATGGTTAGATGTGATCACATGTCCCGAGTGGCTGAAGGAGACTGAAGGCTAGATGTGGTCATATGACCCCAGAGGCTGAAGGAGACCGATGGTTAGATGTGGTCACATGACCCCAGAGGCGTTAATCCTGTTAAAGAATATATTCTAAAAACACACTAATATCATATATAACAGTCCAGCTTAACTTTACAAGGGGGCACGGGTAGCCCAGTCGTCTAATGTGCCGACATTCGCTGTGCAGAGTTGCGTCCATTGGGCACGTCAGAAACCTATGACTGTGGGTTCGAATCCCGGTTCGCCCGGATTATGTTTCTAGGTTTGTCAGCACCATACCCGTGCTCGTGGGTTTCACAGAAGTGGTAAACGTCTAAGACCTGCATCACTTTCCCCCCACATTAAGCTGGCACGCCGTGATGTAACTGGAATACTGTTTAAAACGGCGTTGAACCCAACTCACTCACTCATTATCTGAACAACCTGGTTCCCTTTCGTTTCTGCGACAGAATGGGACTGACTGAGGCAGAGCAAGAGCAGCGACACCAAGCGGAGGATCCGGTCTGCCCATTGCAAGCCTATGATTATACTGATTACACGGTATGAGAACGAGCCCAAATTAGCCAAATATCGAACTAGTAACGATCCCTCATCAAACGGGTTGCATATAACATGGATAATCTCACACATAATTATACACAAGGAAAAAAACAGGGTTACAGTACTTTCATATACTCAAGTCATTCTATAAAATAACTTCCTGTATGTATTTTCAGACGAAACCCATTTGTTTTTGTTTTTTTGTTTTTTTTTATAAAATGACAACCAATTTTTAAATTCAGAAATCAACATCGATCATCTTATGGCCTGTTTAGTAATTGTTCCATTGCAATAGCTAACTAACTACCCATTCCGCGGCTTCGTTGCATCGCATCATATGAATCAGTACTTGCAACCATTTGGAGACAAACACTCTTCTCGTACCAACTACCCACAAGGTACAAGATGTTTCTAATAGATGCATGGGGTGAGTGAGTGAGTTTGGTTTTACGCGTCCTTTAGCAATATTCCAGCTATATCACGGAGGGTGACACCAGAAATGGCTTTTACACATGCTGCCCCTGTAGGGAATCGAATGCTTTAACCACTTGGCTACCCCATCGCTCCAAAGAATATACAGGGAAATTCGGGTGATATGAAGAGAAAGAAAGGGTGGATATTGTGGATTATGCTAGCCCCTTTCCATACATATGTCCTCTGGTCGACACAATGCGCGCCATGTTTCGCTATGCAGAGTTATGTCCCTTATATGTGCCAGTATCTGCTAATCGGTCAGTCGAATACTCGATTCGCCTCCATTATGATCCATGACATGCCAACGAATTGGTCAACGTCTATAGCTACGACATGCCTTTAGGCTTTAGTCACACAGTAAGCAGACAGATATTATATAACGGAAAATATTGTTCAAAGCGGCGTTGAGAACACTCACCTACCCATCATGTTCCGAAAGCATAATTACTACAGAATGGCCGTAAATTATAACTCGGTGGCACAATTTCAGGGTGTTTTAATGGGTGAGTATGGTTTTACATCACACATTGTACCCCGGCAGTTAATGAGAGTGTATTTATTTATTTATTTATTTGTTTGTTTGTTTGTTTGTTTGTTTCATTGTTTCAAAACATAACACTTCCTTTCTCTAACAGGAGGAGCCGAACGCTTTTTTAAAGACATCCAGCTAATCCAGCGAAAAAGCGTACTGGTCAATTAATGCTTCCAGCATTGTCCGCAACAATTTAATATAAATACGTCCCAGGTCTTCTAGAATATAAAATGGTCGGGCCTCAATATTATTGCCGTGACCAGTCACAACAACAACACAGAGACTGGAACACACGCACCGCGACTTTAAGGGCGCACAAATTATGTCCGGCAGTAACTAAAGGCCATCAGCTCTACCCTTTAACCGCTAATTATTGACAAGGCCTCGCGATGTATGACTGTCAGTCAACCCGTCACAGTTCCAAGTTTACTGTCAGTAAACAACTAAACTGATTGATATGTTGATTTAATGAAATCGAATTGTAATTGATCGTCGTTGTGGATGGCAACAGTTTCGATGTGTACCATCAGATCCAAGAGGCACATTGACGGGTTAATCCACTTTGATGTTGCCGAAGTACTCTTTTATCTCTGTATCACAAACTAAAGAGGAAAAGGCGGAAACAACTTCAGTTTTAGAAACAGTTTCCCGCTAAGCGTGCGTGACAGACAGTTGTCAATAAAAGACGTTAAGCGAACTTTTACAGCAATACACAAATGTTGATTGCCCAACGTTGGTTCAATATGGTGGCACTTCCGGTACGACGCTATGGCGTGTATGGAATATACCGTTAGCACGAAAGTGACTGTCGTTTCTGCTGTGGTTAACGTAAAACGAATTCACTTACCTTCGATGAGTTGCGGGATGACCACACCCTGGACATTGCAAAAAGGGTAGAATTCCGTTTTCGGAAATAGCGCTAGAGCCATGGCAGACCTAATCAACTTGTACATTATGCGGTGTCGTGATGTACGACATTAACCGCTGCTGATGTTGACGATAACGATTTAGAAGTATTGTTATTTTTATGTGGGCAATTAATCGTATTTACGAGATGCATAGGCACAGGGTAACGTGGTCTCACTCTCACTGAGACGGTACACCAAGTCGCGGAATTGGCTTGTTCTGACATCTGTCTGGATTGCGTCAATGGCAAGTGGTAAGTGTTGTTTTCTTGATACAAATTAAATCATTTGCCTTCACCATTCCATGTCTTTTTAAACATTCACACTCTCCTTTTTTTATGTAAAACTTTCCTAATTGATCCACACTTGACGGTTTTCATTTTGAAACCGGAACTATTTTTTTACAAGTAAATCTTTTTCAGGAATATACTTTTGTGTCGAAACAATAGCTTTCATTTATCATTTAGTTAAAGTTCACATCAATTTAAAATATCAAATCTATCGCTATTCGTAGTGTATTAAGCAAGTTATATCTCCACTTCGTGGGTATTTGGACACTGTTACATGTATATACATGTAGATATAATAAACAGAAAGTATATACTTAAAAAAATATTCTTCACGCTGCTCATCACATTAAGTTCTGTGAAATTGCGCCCTCCGTGTTCCTTGTTCTTGTTCTTGTAAGATATACATTGATGTGATGGATGTAATATCGCCTATGATACCCGTATTAAATACTTCGCCATTGAATAACAATTTCTCGTTTGTTTAATTTGTAGCCACCATCAAATATGGGTGTCTACTATTTCTGTTCAGCATATCTGTTTCCATCTGTTTGTTTACAATTTGTTTCGTTGACGAGTTGTTACGTTGGCATGTGCAACCCGCGAAGATCCGGGTTAGAGTGGGTCTTCAGCAACCCATGATTGTCGTAAAGGCGACCGTGGTTGTCGTAAGAGGCGACTAACGGGGTTGGGTGGTCAGGCTCGCTGACTTGGTTGATGCATGTCATCATATCCAAATTGAGTGGATCGATGCTCATGATATCAATCACTGGATTGCCTGTCCAGAATCGTCTCTTTACAGACCGCCGTCATATACCTGGAATATTGCTGAGTGCGGCGTTAAACAACAAGCAAACGTGCTTTAGCGATGTACTGCACGTACACTCTTCCAGACAAATTAACGACATGTGGAAACAGTCTGGTAATTAACTTGAAAAGATAATAACACAAACGTAGATGGGGATAGGTCTGAACCTTTTGTGATTTCCCGACAAATGTGATCCCCCCATGTGTTCTATGGTACAGATACGGTCAGATGGAGGGGTCGGTTTCTTAACGTTTGGATCGTCTTCGGCCTCAGTGTGATGTCATTCGGTGTCGTTCCCGAAACCGTCATTGGTAAGTATAGGATAAGACATCTTGAACGCGTACCCTGCCTGAAGCGCAGTTGCCTCGGCGCCGCTTTTCGCTATCAGGGGTTGCGTTACTTTGGTGTAACAGAAACCTGTGTTCGTGGGTTCGAATCCCTGATTCACAGTGTTCATGCTTCTTGGTTTGTCAGCGCCATATTCGTGATCGTGGGTTTCACTTGGGATCTACTCCTGCATCAAGCGGACTCTCCGTGATATACAATATATGTAACCGAACCAGTGGTCAAAGCTGTTCGAGAACACGACAGGGAGAATAAACCATGAAGGGCGCAACCTCAAGTGGTTTATTCACCCTGTAGTGTTTTATTGTATGATAAACCACGACCACGCATCGTTTATTACTTATATGAGACATCAATATCATGTACAGCCTCTTTAAAGATGTTAATAAAATGTATTTACCCAGATTTTAATAATGATGACTCCTTAAATAGAAGTCCATGTTATGAACAGAGGAGTTACATTTTGTATTCCCCGCATATTCTCACACATTTCACGTCGATTATCTGTACCTTTTCTCCCAATACCGATTGTCATATCTCTCCCACTTTTGGGTGCGATCGTTCGGCCATTGGGTCCATCTGTGCTGTCCAGCTACATCTATGGGGAACCACTCACTAGACACTTCCCTCAGCCATATAACGTCGTCCAATTTACGACGTCATCAAGTTGCGATCGCATGTTCGAATCTCCAGAAATGACGATCATAAAAGAAGTTTACGTTCATGGAAGGTCAGATTGGTGATAGTAGTGTTCGACAGAACGTTTCAAATAAAAATCATGGCAAGTTGCTTCGTTTGGGCAATACTGCACGTGTAAGATGACGTTGCGATGATAACTTGCAATGCACGTGAACCATAATAGCTGTGCACGTAAAGGTGAACGTTATCAGTCAACAACAAAGTACCCGAGGGGATGTGAAATGGGGTTAACCGTCACGTCCAGTATTATTGCACTTATATCGACGTGCATGCACGTGTATGTGTATGGCTGCTTGTACTAGTCCGGACTGATGCCGATTTATAGTGCTAGCCCACTTAGATACCATGCCGCAGTTTAACATGAATACCCAACTCAGACACAGCATACTGACTCCGAGCCGACCAGTCCTTGTTTTATCCCATTAATGCCGAGCGCCAGACAGGGTAACAACAAGTGCCATCTTTTAACGTGTTTTGGTATGACGCGGCCGGGGATCGAACCCCAGACGTTACGTTACGCTCTCCGGGTGGACGCTCTATTAATAGAACTTAGAGGAGGTAAAATACCCGAGAACATGGCAAGGCTTACTGCAGAACAACGAGAGCGAGAGCAATTAGTTTGGGGCAGTATGGGGCAATTTACACACCAGTCGCAAGAACCACGACGATCACCAAGTTGTCACAACGTTACAGGAGGAAGTGCCGCGATGTGGAAGAACCGGCGTCACATCCGCCATTGATGACCACTATATCCGCACCTAGCAACTACGTTACAAATTCCTCACTGTGACCGACTACGCATGGGCAGGTCATCAGTCTCCACACCCTACGTCGCCGACTTCAAGCAATGCAGCGGAATGACACTCACGATGCAGTATCGGCTTCAGCGTTAACAATGTCGTAACTGGCAACGTGTGTCATTTTCTGATGAGAGCAGGTTCCATTTGCACGGAAAACACGGACCGACCGACGTGTGGAAGTAAGAACGGCTCCTTAATGCATTCAGGATGCTATACCGTTTGGGTCGGTCGACAAAGGACAGAGGACAAACTGGTTGTCATGGAAACCATCTTGCCCAGTGTTACATTGACCCCGTGTTACGTCCCTTGGTGTTACGGTCCGCCAACCCACGGTCTTGTTTCTACAGGGCAACGCATGACCTCACAGCTCGTGTTGTACAACAGTGTCTGGCCACGAACAACGTCAGTGTTCTGCCATGGCCAGCCCTTTCACCAGACATGTCACCAATAGAACATCTTTGTGATCATCTTCACCAGAGCATCCGTCGCCGTCCCAGTCCTCCAATGAACAGAAATCAGGTGGTACAAGCATTGAGAGAGGAATGTAGGGAAATTCCTGATGACGTCATCAGACGCCTAACTGTGTTCAACGTCGTGTACTCGCCTTTATGTTTGCACGTGGAGGCCATACACATTATTGACGTATTGACATTCATTTAGTGACGGCAATGATCATGTTAACTCACATAACGTCCTGAGTCTAATCTGTGAAATCGCCCATTTAACCCTAGTGCTGTGTGGGATCTGTGCTGGTCAATATTTAGTGTTTTTATATCTTATATTTAAGAAATACACGACGAGTGGGAGTTGTTTATCGTAGGGTGATTAAACCATGAGAGGCGTAGCCACGAGGGGGTGTATTCTCCCTGCATTAATTTATTGTTCGATAAACATCGACCACGAGTCGTTTATTTCTAATATGAGATATCAACATTATGTTAACAGCCTCTTAAAAAAGCTTTAAAAATATTTACCCAGATTTTAATAATGATGACTCTCTGAATAGAATCCGACCTTGGCAATGTCGGACAAGTCCATTTTATGAACAGGTGGGTTAAGTTTGGTATTTCCCGCATATTCTCCCAATCCTCACGTCGATTATCTGTACCTTTTCTCCCAATACCGATTGTCATATCTCTCCCTCTATTGGGTGCGATCGGTCAGCCACTGCTTTTATCTGCGTAACCCAGCTACGTCTTTGGAGACATACTCACATGATACATCACTGTAACAAATAACGTCATTTCCACCTGTTTCCTAAACGAAAAGAATACCTTCGTGGAAATCTCTGTGACGACAACGATGACCTCAAAGCTGCCGTGAATGGGTTTTTTAGGGTGGCTTCAGAAAACCTCTTCCTGACTGGAATTGAAATGCTTCACTATCGAAATGAGGAGTGTATGGAAAAGCAGGGAGATTATGTTGAATAATAAAATTAAAAAAATTGTTGGCTTTGTTTCTTAGGCTTAGAACATTTTGACCAGCCCTCGTATATACACAGCATTAAAACTACGATCAAGATTGAGTAATAAGTTTCTCTTTATCATTTCCGATCGCCTCTGTGATCTCGTGCTAGAGTGTCCGGAAAGTCGGGGTTCGATCCCCAGCCACGTCTTACCAAAAGACGTTGAAAGATGGTACTTGTTGTTACCCTGCCTGGCGCTTGGCATTAAGGGGCTAAAACAAGGACTGGTCGGCATTAGTCCGGACTAGTACAAGCAGCCACACACACACACACACACACACACAGACACACACACACACACACACACACACACACACACACGTGCATGCACGTCGCTATATAAGTGCAATAATCTTGAACGCGACGTTAAACCCCATTTCACCTCACCTCATCTTTATCACTTCTTCATGGCAGCCGTAGCCTCATGTTTAAATCGTTCGCTCGTCACGCCGAAGTCCCGGGTTCGATTCCCGACATGGGTGCAGTGTGTGAAGCCCATTTCTGGTGTCCTTCAGCTGCGATGTTGCTGTATTTTGTCCAAAAGCATCGTAAAATTAGCTTTTACCATGATTTTATTTTGATAATACTTGATTCTGATTGGTCTATCCCAATCACAATAACCGCCCTTGATTGAAACAGTTGATTTGACGACTACATTCACGTAAACAGTCGCCAGAAATCTATGACCGTGAGTTCGAATCCCGGTTCGCTCCGACTATGTTTCTAGGTTAGTCAGCACCATACCCGTTCTCGCGGGTTTCATCAAAGTGATAAACGTCTGAGACCTGCATCACCTCGGACTTATTCTCCCACTTCAAACTGACACGCCGTGATATAACTGCAATATGTTAAACCCACTCTCACTTGCCCTATATGGACGGTGTTATATTGCCAGATTCAAGTACGGGCAACTGGACACAAAACCCAGATATTACTTCCGACGTTACGCATGCCAACATGACGTTGATGTCGACGGGTGATGAAGTTACCGACAACAACGTCACTACAGATGATCAGACAACAGGCATCAACACCACTGCAAGCGACTACGTCGACACAACTCCCGCAGCTTCGGTGGCGGAGACGGCCTCGTGAGTATACAAACGTAATATATGCTGACTTGGTTGATACATGTCATTGTATCCCAATTGCCTAGAACGATGCTCATGATGTCAATCAGTGGATTGTCTGGTCCAGACTCGATTATTTACAGACCGCTGTCCTACAGCTGGAATATTGCAAATTACTTTCACGAGCGAGAGCTAGTCTGTGCTTAGGGACAGTCGTGATGGATGTGGTGACGTCACTTCCGAAAGGACGCTGTGGTTTCAAATAGGACCAGGCCATTTGTCCTAAAAGAACGGAACTATAGTAACCTGGATTATTGAGGATGTTTTTGGACCACTATATCAGATTGATTTAAGATTGGAGCAAAACTTTTCGAAATTGTTATATGGAAGCTGGACGCCCCTATTTGAAGTAAGCCGAGGGGCTAAAGAAAGTATGGCGAGTTTGCTTTTCGTGTTATTGAAAATTGAAAGAACTGTTGTTAAATTTGATTATGTCTTTAAATCATCATTCCTGCAACAGTTTGTAAACTGTACTTTGTGACTGGTTAATTATATATAAACATAAACTGGCTCAATGAAGACTGGTGTAAAAAATGATTTCGAAACCACATGACGCCTACTATGTTTGAAATGTTATCAACCGAAAAGAGCAAATTTATGGATTTTCCAAAATACCCATCAGTATTTGTTTTGTTTCTTAAGTTTTGAAGTTTTTAAATGTAATTATATTTTCAAAAAAATAAAAATGAGTCTGACTTAGCGCCATTACAGTTCATTTTTCAATATAACATCGCTAACTTAGATATTTTCAATTGAAATTCAAACATGTGATAACTTTGAGGGTCTAGTGAAAGTTTCGAAACTTGATGTAATTTTACCAATTGTCGTGATCCTTATTCAAGTATTTGGCTGTGTTTTTATGTGTATTTGTATTTGTTAATGTTGACATAATAGGTACACCAATGTTGACGGGATATGTAATGACGTCACAACAGTGATGACGTCACAATAACTCTTTCTTGACGTCATGTTGACATTAATTATTATTTTTAATATTATCATCATTATTTTACAATGACCTCGTACGTCCACAAGCAGCAACGACACCGATGGCTTAGATGCCCTGTGTAGTATCTTGGACGAGTTCCCCTCGCCTAACTTCTGGTACAAGTACACACGGGACCAGGCCACGGAGGCATTGTGCAAGTGTGCTGGCATGTGTGTGGCTGCCTCAACCCCGAGTCCCGAGGAGGTGGCGGCCCAGATGTGGGAGTTGTCCAACGTCCTCTCGGACACAAACTGGCCAAGGTTCCTCGCCGTCACCATCGCCTTCTCCGTCATCTTTCTCACCGGATTCATAGGTATGAGCGGACATATGTATAATCTGTCACAGACAATCTTCCTGACGCAAAGGAGTTAAATGACTGTAAAAGCCCTGTTTCCACTGGACTTTTGTAGTCAGTTAACACTCCCTTACCTCGGGACAACTACAGCGATTTATGAGGTAGTTGTTAATAAGACGTTTTCTTATTTTCTTTTTGGATGTTGTTTGTTTTCATTGTTTATGAAGACGACCAAAGCATCCATCAATATGAGCAGCCACTAGACATGTGACGAGCGCTGGACAGGGTGGAGCCGGGGTGGGGTTTAACAGAGCTCATCCTAGCATATACATGGGCATCAGGGTGGAGCCTGACACTTAACTCACTACCTTATACACGACCATCAGGGTGGAGCCTACCACACAACTCACTACCTTATACAAGACCATCAGGGTGGAGCCTCTCACACAACTCACTACCTTATACACGACCATCAGGGTGGAGCCTAACACACAACTCACCACCTTATACACGACCATCAGGGTGGAGCCTCTCACACATCTCACTACCTTATACACGACCATCAGGGGGAAGCCTGACACACAACTCACTACCTTATACACGACCATCAGGGTGGAGCCTGACACTTAACTCACTACCTTATACACGACCATCAGGGTGGAGCCTAACACACAACTCACTACCTTATACACGACCATCAGGGTGGAGCCTGACACTTAACTCACTACCTTATACACGACCATCAGGGTGGAGCCTACCACACAACTCACTACCTTATACACGACCATCAGGATGGAGCCTGACACTTAACTCACTACCTTATACACGACCATCAGGATGGAGCCTCTCACACAACTCACTACCTTATACACGACCATCAGGATGGAGCCTAACACACAACTCACTACCTTATACACGACCATCAGAGTGGAGCCTGACACTTAACTCACTACCTTATACACGACCATCAGGGTGGAGCCTACCACACAACTCACTACCTTATACACGACCATCAGGATGGAGCCTGACACTTAACTCACTACCTTATACACGACCACCAGGATGGAGCCTAACACACAACTCACTACCTTATACACGACCATCAGAGTGGAGCCTAACACACAACTCACAACCTTATACACGACCATCAGGGTGGAGCCTAACACACAACTCACTACCTTATACACGACCATCAGGGTGGAGCCTAACACACAACTCACTACCTTTTACACGACCATCAGGGTGGAGCCTAACACACAACTCACTACCTTATACACGACCATCAGGGTGGAGCCTAACACACAACTCACTACCTTATACACGACCATCAGGGTGGAGCCTGACACACAACTCACTACCTTATACACGACCATCAGGGTGGAGCCTAACACACAACTCACTACCTTATACACGACCATCAGGGTGGAGCCTAACACACAACTCACTACCTTATACACGACCATCAGGGTGGAGCCTGACACTTAACTCACTACCTTATACACGACCATCAGGGTGGAGCCTAACACACAACTCACTACCTTATACACGACCATCAGGGTGGAGCCTGACACTTAACTCACTACCTTATACACGACCATCAGGGTGGAGCCTACCACACAACTCACTACCTTATACACGACCATCAGGATTGAGCCTGACACTTAACTCACTACGTTATACACGACCATCAGGATGGAGCCTCTCACACAACTCACTACCTTATACACGACCACCAGGATGGAGCCTAACACACAACTCACTACCTTATACACGACCATCAGAGTGGAGCCTAACACACAACTCACAACCTTATACACGACATTCAGGGTGGAGCCTAACACACAACTCACTACCTTATACACGACCATCAGGGTGGAGCCTAACACACAACTCACTACCTTATACACGACCATCAGGGTGGAGCCTGACACACAACTCACTACGTTATACACGACCATCAGAGTGGAGCCTAACACACAACTCACTACCTTATACACAACCATCAGAGTGGAGCCTAACACACAACTCACTACCTTATACACGACCATCAGGGTGGAGCCTAACACACAACTCACTACCTTATACACAACCATCAGAGTGGAGCCTAACACACAACTCACTACCTTATACACGACCATCAGGGTGGAGCCTCACACACAACTCACAACCTTATACACGACCATCAGGGTGGAGCCTAACACACAACTCACTACCTTATACACGACCATCAGGGTGGAGCCTAACACACAACTCACTACCTTATACACGACCATCAGGGTGGAGCCTAACACACAACTCACTACCTTATACACGACCATCAGGGTGGAGCCTGACACTTAACTCACTACCTTATACACGACCATCAGGGTGGAGCCTACCACACAACTCACTACCTTATACACGACCATCAGGATGGAGCCTGACACTTAACTCACTACCTTATACACGACCATCAGGATGGAGCCTGACACTTAACTCACTACCTTATACACGACCATCAGGGTGGAGCCTGACACTTAACTCACTACCTTATACACGACCATCAGGATGGAGCCTGACACTTAACTCACTACCTTATACACGACCATCAGGATGGAGCCTGACACTTAACTCACTACCTTATACACGACCATCAGGGTGGAGCCTGACACTTAACTCACTACCTTATACACGACCATCAGGATGGAGCCTCTCACACAACTCACTACCTTATACACGACCACCAGGATGGAGCCTAACACACAACTCACTACCTTATACACGACCATCAGAGTGGAGCCTAACACACAACTCACAACCTTATACACGACCATCAGGGTGGAGCCTAACACACAACTCACTACCTTATACACGACCATCAGAGTGGAGCCTAACACACAACTCACTACCTTTTACACGACCATCAGGGTGGAGCCTAACACACAACTCACTACCTTATACACGACCATCAGGGTGGAGCCTAACACACAACTCACTACCTTATACACGACCATCAGGGTGGAGCCTGACACACAACTCACTACCTTATACACGACCATCAGGGTGGAGCCTAACACACAACTCACTACCTTATACACGACCATCAGGGTGGAGCCTAACACACAACTCACTACCTTATACACGACCATCAGGGTGGAGCCTGACACACAACTCACTACCTTATACACGACCATCAGGGTGGAGCCTGACACACAACTCACAACCTTATACACGACATTCAGGGTGGAGCCTAACACACAACTCACTACCTTATACACGACCATCAGGGTGGAGCCTAACACACAACTCACTACCTTATACACGACCATCAGGGTGGAGCCTGACACACAACTCACTACCTTATACACGACCATCAGGGTGGAGCCTGACACTTAACTCACTACCTTATACACGACCATCAGGGTGGAGCCTAACACACAACTCACTACCTTATACACGACCATCAGGGTGGAGCCTGACACTTAACTCACTACCTTATACACGACCATCAGGGTGGAGCCTACCACACAACTCACTACCTTATACACGACCATCAGGATTGAGCCTGACACTTAACTCACTACCTTATACACGACCATCAGGATGGAGCCTCTCACACAACTCACTACCTTATACACGACCACCAGGATGGAGCCTAACACACAACTCACTACCTTATACACGACCATCAGAGTGGAGCCTAACACACAACTCACAACCTTATACACGACATTCAGGGTGGAGCCTAACACACAACTCACTACCTTATACACGACCATCAGGGTGGAGCCTAACACACAACTCACTACCTTATACACGACCATCAGGGTGGAGCCTGACACACAACTCACTACGTTATACACGACCATCAGAGTGGAGCCTAACACACAACTCACTACCTTATACACAACCATCAGAGTGGAGCCTAACACACAACTCACTACCTTATACACGACCATCAGGGTGGAGCCTAACACACAACTCACTACCTTATACACAACCATCAGAGTGGAGCCTAACACACAACTCACTACCTTATACACGACCATCAGGGTGGAGCCTCACACACAACTCACAACCTTATACACGACCATCAGGGTGGAGCCTAACACACAACTCACTACCTTATACACGACCATCAGGGTGGAGCCTAACACACAACTCACTACCTTATACACGACCATCAGGGTGGAGCCTAACACACAACTCACTACCTTATACACGACCATCAGGGTGGAGCCTGACACTTAACTCACTACCTTATACACGACCATCAGGGTGGAGCCTAACACACAACTCACTACCTTATACACGACCATCAGGGTGGAGCCTAACACACAACTCACTACCTTATACACGACCATCAGGGTGGAGCCTCACACACAACTCACAACCTTATACACGACCATCAGGGTGGAGCCTAACACACAACTCACTACCTTATACACGACCATCAGGGTGGAGCCTGACACACAACTCACTACGTTATACACGACCATCAGAGTGGAGCCTAACACACAACTCACTACCTTATACACAACCATCAGAGTGGAGCCTAACACACAACTCACTACCTTATACACGACCATCAGGGTGGAGCCTCACATACAACTCACTACCTTATACACAACCATCAGAGTGGAGCCTAACACACAACTCACTACCTTATACACGACCATCAGGGTGGAGCCTCACACACAACTCACAACCTTATACATGACCATCAGGGTGGAGCCTAACACAGCGCGCACTAACATATACACGACCATCAGGGTGGGGTCTAACACACAACTCACTACCTTATACACGACCATCAGGGTGGAGCCTCTCACACAACTCACTACCTTATACACGACCATCAGGGTGGAGCCTCTCACACAACTCACAACCTTATACACGACCATCAGGGTGGAGCCTAACACACCGCGCACTACCTTATACACGACCATCAGGGTGGAGCCTCTCACACAACTCACTACCTTATACACGACCATCAGGGTGGGGTCTAACACACTGCGCACTGACATATACACAACCATCAGGGTGGAGCCTAACACACCGCGCACTAACATATACACGACCATCAGGGTGGGGTCTAACACCGCGGGGCTAGCTGCAACATACAAGACGATTTTAAGGACCATTCAGATCTCATTCACTTTGGCCTTTACATGAAGTAATCATTGCTGAAATAACATTCAAAGTGTTGTCAAACCTACACACTCGCTGCAGGCAACGCGATGACGATAGCATGCCTGACGTGCTGGTTGAAGGTGAAGTCGTCCACGTTCCTGTTCATCCTCAGCCTGGCTTGTTCGGACATCCTTCTCCTCGTGGTCTGTCTTCCTATGAAGGTACGTTCCCTGTCTCCCCATGAAGGTACGTTCCCTGTCTTCCCATGAAGGTACATTCACTGTCTTCCCATGAAGGTCATTTCCTGTCTTCCCATTAAGGTACGTTTACTGTCTTCCCATGAAGGTACATTCACTGTCTTCCCATGAAGGTATGTTCACTGTCTTCCCATGAAGGTACATTCACTGTCTTCCCATGAAGGTACGTTCACTGACTTCCCATGAAGGTATGTTCACTGACTTCCCATGAAGGTATGTTCACTGACTTCCCATGAAGGTATGTTCACTGACTTCCCATGAAGGTACATTCACTGACTTCCCATGAAGGTATGTTCACTGACTTCCCATGAAGGTACGTTCACTGACTTCCCATGAAGGTATGTTCACTGACTTCCCATGAAGGTATGTTCACTGTCTTCCCATGAAGGTATGTTCACTGACTTCCCATAAAGGTACGTTCACTGACTTCCCATAAAGGTATGTTCACTGACTTCCCATAAAGGGACGTTCACTGACTTCCCATAAAGGGACGTTCCCTGTCTTCCCATGAAGGTACGTTCACTGACTTCCCATGAAGGTACGTTCACTGTCTTCCCATGAAGGTACGTTCACTGTCTTCCCATGAGGGTATGTTCACTGTCTTCCCATGAAGGTACGTTCACTGTCTTCCCATGAAGGTACATTCACTGTCTTCCCATGAAGGTACGTTCACTGTCTTCCCATGAAGGTACGTTCACTGTCTTCCCATGAAGGTACGTTCACTGCCTTCCCATGAAGGTACGTTCACTGTCTTCCCATAAAGGTACGTTCACTGTCTTCCCATGAAGGTACGTTCCCTGACTTCCCATGAAGGTACATTCACTGACTTCCAATGAAGGTACATTCACTGACTTCCCATGAAGGTATGTTCACTGTCTTCCCATGAAGGTACATTCACTGTCTTCCCATGAAGGTACGTTTACTGACTTCCCATGAAGGTGCGTTCACTGTCTTCCCATGAAGGTACATTCACTGTCTTCCCATGAAGGTACGTTCACTGTCTTCCCATAAAGGTACGTTCACTGTCTTCCCATGAAGGTACGTTCACTGACTTCCCATGAAGGTACGTTCACTGTCTTCCCATGAAGGTACGTTCACTGACTTCCCATGAAGGTACATTCACTGACTTCCCATGAAGGTACGTTCACTGTCTTCCCATGAAGGTATGTTCCCTGACTTCCCATGAAGGTACATTAACTGTCTTCCCATGAAGGTACGTTCACTGACTTCCCATGAAGGTACGTTCACTGTCTTCCCATGAAGGTATGTTCACTGCCTTCCCATGAAGGTACGTTCACTTTCTTCCCATGAAGGTACATTCACTGTCTTCCCATGAAGGTATGTTCACTGACTTCCCATGAAGGTATGTTCACTGTCTTCCCATGAAGGTACATTCACTGTCTTCCCATGAAGGTATGTTCACTGTCTTCCCATAAAGGTATGTTCACTGTCTTCCCATGAAGGTACATTCACTGTCTTCCCATGAAGGTACGTTCACTGACTTCCCATGAAGGTACGTTCACTGTCTTCCCATGAAGGTACATTCACTGTCTTCCCATGAAGGTACATTCACTGACTTCCAATGAAGGTACGTTCACTGACTTCCCATTAAGGTATGTTCACTGACTTCCCATGAAGGTACATTCACTGACTTCCCATGAAGGTACGTTCACTGTCTTCCCGTGTAGTCAGGAGTCATACGCCCTACATGTGTGTAGTCAGGAGTTATACGCCCTCCATGTTCGTAGTCAGGAGTCATACGCCCTCCATGTGTGTAGTCAGTAGTTATACGCCCTTCATGTGTGTAGTCAGTAGTTATACGCCCTACATGTATGTAGTCAGGAGTCATACGCCCTCCATGTGTGTAGTCAGGAGTCATACGCCCTACATGTGTGTAGTCAGGAGTTATACGCCCTACATGTGTGTAGTCAGGAGTCATACGCCCTACATGTGTGTAGTCAGGAGTCATATTCTTTACATGTGTGTAGTCAGGAGTCATATTCTTTACATGTGTGTAGTTAGGAGTCATATTCTTTACATGTGTGTAGTCAGGAGTCATACGCCCTCCATGTGTGTAGTCAGTAGTGATACGCCCTACATGTGTGTAGTCAGGAGTCATACGCCCTACATGTGTGTAGCCAGGAGTCATACGCCCTACATGTGTGTAGTCATGAGTCATTTGCCCTCCATGTGTGTAGTCAGGAGTCATATTCTTTACATGTGTGTAGTCAGGAGTCATACGCCCTACATGTGTGTAGTCAGGAGTCATGCGCCCTACATGTGTGTAGTCAAGAGTCATACGCCCTCCATGTGTGTAGTCAGGAGTCATTCGCCCTCCATGTGTGTAGTCAGGAGTCATATTCTTTACATGTGTGTAGTCAGGAGTCATACGCCCTACATGTGTGTAGTCAGGAGTCATACGCCCTACATGTGTGTAGTCAGGAGTTATATGCCCTACATGTGTGTAGTCAGGAGTCATACGCCCTCCATGTGTGTAGTCAGGAGTCATATTCTTTACATGTGTGTAGTCAGGAGTCATACGCCCTCCATATTTGTAGTCAGGAGTCATACGCCCTCCATGTGTGTAGTCAGTAGTTATACGCCCTACATGTGTGTAGTCAGGAGTCATACGCCCTACATGTGTGTAGTCAGGAGTCATACGCCCTAAAAGTGTGTAGTCAGGAGTCATACGCCCTACATGTGTGTAGTCAGGAGTTATACGCCCTACATGTGTGTAGTCAGGAGTCATATTCTTTGCATGTGTGTAGTCAGGAGTCATACGCCCTACATGTGTGTAGTCAGGAGTCATACGCCCTACATGTGTGTAGTCAGGAGTCATACGCCCTCCATGTGTGTAGTCAGGAGTCATTTGCCCTCCATGTGTGTAGTCAGGAGTCATATTCTTTACATGTGTGTAGTCAGGAGTCATACGCCCTCCATGTTTGTAGTCAGGAGTCATATGCCCTCCATGTGTGTAGTCAGTAGTTATACGCCCTACATGTATGTAGTCAGGAGTCATACGCCCTCCATGTGTGTAGTCAGGAGTCATTCGCCCTCCATGTGTGTAGTCAGGAGTCATATTCTTTACATGTGTGTAGTCAGGAGTCATATTCTTTACATGTGTGTAGTCAGGAGTCATGCGCCCTACATGTGTGTAGTCAGGAGTCATACGCCCTACATGTGTGTAGTCAGGAGTTATACGCCCTACATGTGTGTAGTCAGGAGTCATACGCCCTCCATGTGTGTAGTCAGGAGTCATATTCTTTGCATGTGTGTAGTCAGGAGTCATACGCCCTCCATGTTTGTAGTCAGGAGTCATACGCCCTCCATGTGTGTAGTCAGTAGTTATACGCCCTCCATGTGTGTAGTCAGGAGTCATATTCTTTACATGTGTGTAGTCAGGAGTCATACGCCCTACATGTGCATCATCAAATACTCATGGTTTAGAATCCCACAGCCGTCTTGATTATGATCCTAGATTTGTCAGCACCATGCCTATGCTTAAAATAAACATCTGAAACCTGCATCCGATATCAAACTGACGCGCCATGATACAAATGGAATATTGTTCAAAGCAGCGTGAAAACTAGCTCACTCACTCACCGTGAAATCCAACTTACCAACTCTAACACGTTGTCCTGCATTCTCCAGGCCCTAGAGCTGTTCTATCTGAATGACCTACTGAGCGGCGTCGCGTGCATTATGACGTACTTCATCCGGGACTTCAGCCTCGCCTGCTCCGTCCTCACCCTCACCATCATCAGCTTTGAGAGGTAAATATTCTTTCGTCTTTGCATGATGTCTTGTAAATAATCCAAACTAGTGGTTGATATTATGAGCAAGCCCCGGGGTACAACTACATGTAGTCATGCAGCAATTCCCATAGCACGACGCCCCACACAAAATCAAGATTGAGTAAGAAAACCAAAGGTTGATATTATGAACAACGGCCCACGTCGTCTGAATACAACGACGTGACACAACCAGATCACCGAGGCAGACCACCCGACCGTCAGTTCAGAATCCCGAGGACCCGTTATTGCCCGCGTCACCAGGGGATACGACATGCTTGAGGGGCGGTAAGATAGCCCTGTGGTAAAAGCCATGTCTACACAGGCCATGAGTTTGAATCCTCTCTAGAATACAACGTGTGCGGCCCATTCTGGGTGTCACTCATCATGAAGAAGTTTTAACGTCGACCCAACCAGAACATTCCCCCGTGGTAATCCGGGTTAGATCAATGTCTCCGTTTGAGGTAAAAGATGACCTAATTGGATCGAGAGGTCGGTGACTTGGCTGATTGCTTGTCTTTGTATCCCGATGGTGTGATAGTTGCTCATGTTTTCAGTCACTGGTTTTCAGTCACTGGTTTGCCTGGTCCAGGCTCGATTATATTCAAGTCGCCGTGATATCACTGGATTATTGTTGTTATAATCGATCAATACGCACTCAAACTGCACGTAAATGCCTCTAACCAATCTCTAAACTTCATATTTAATAATATCAAACTTATCCACGTCCATTTGGACGTGATTCACGTGTCAGTCATACATGAGTTTGTACTGAAGACATCAAGGTTCCTTGAACGCATTCTTGTTACAGATTCTACGCAATATGCTATCCCCTCAAGGCCCAGTTCCGGTGCAGCACGCGCCGCGCACGAATACTCATTGTGATCACGTGGTTGTTGTCCGGGTTACTTTGCCTCCCTACAGTGTTTATCAGGGTGTGTAAGTCCACGTATAGTGTCTTATTTAGTGTTTAATCCAAATAAAGCCTTTTTAAAAACTAACATCTGATTGAGGCAGGGACCCTCACTTCCTTCATTTAGGTAGGGTGGTCAAAATTCGTGTCAGGGTTAACATGACGCGACCTCCTACCGAAGGCATGCATCAGTCTGATCTGATCTGATTTTAATGAGAATTTTATACAATTTGATTTGAAAATAACGGGAATAACCCGGTTATGTTGTGTCGTGTGATAGTCACGTGCACGAAACGTTCCAATATGGGTTCCGGCCACAGCTAACCAAAGTCCTATTGAATTAAGACGAGCCAACGGGCCGGACTAACGCTAACAATACTCAATGCTCAGTCCTTCTCTTACCTATTACAGAAGAGCTACTACAACTCTCTCACCTACTCCTACATCTGTATTGCAATTTCGGAAAACTACTTGTGGGTAAAGCTGTACTCCATCTATATGTTGGTACTGCTGTACCTGGCCCCCCTCGCCGTCATGAGCTATACCTACACCGGCAGCTGCCTTGCGCTCTACCGCAGCGCCGTGTCAGCGAGGAAGATGCAAGGAGATGGAAGGTATTGGACACACATCCGGGCAACGTGGGTCGGTCAGCCAACGATCCAGGGTAGCCGGATGTGGTTTTGGATTCTTTTCAATCGTCCCCAATCGCGTCTTTCCGTAAGCTAAAACATTCTACACGACTTTTCCCGACATTACACGATTAGTCACGACTGGGATTCATTTTCTGTTTGTTCATTCGTGACCAACTCGTGGCATTCCGAGCCAAATGGAGACTCGTGCCTTTCTTGAAGGATTCCGAATATTGGCATATGAACACGCGAACTACTTGAAACAAGAACGATAACTCTTATTCTACCCGCGCCTTCTTGTAGTATTAAAATGTAGGTGCTACAAAAATTCTCACTTGTTTCTTTTGTAACAGTATTGAAACTCTCTGATATACAAATATAATTTTGTTAAAATGTATATTTAACATGAAAGTACACTCATGTATTCTAATCCTTTGCAAATTAAGATTAGATGGGAAAAACTGACAATACCCAGGTGGTTTTCGATTAAAAATAATTTCCTCAATGAATTTCTTTTCGAGGCATTTAGAAGTAGGGGTACTAAGTAAGGATAAGGTATATGGATGAATAACCACCAATCAAATGTGATCAAGCTAATGCACCCCCTGCTTACCATCGACTCGTCAAAGATTCCAATTAGTCGTAATCCTCTTGTTTATATTACTGGCTTCACCTTTTAGGGCTTTTTACCTCATTTCACCCGCTTTGTCTACATCACAGACTACTCACTTTATAAGCTCTACTTCATACTTGTACACATGCTTCTCACCCGTACCCTGTACTTCACTTGCTTGATGGCGGCGTTAGACCCTACACCGGAACGTCGTTCGCATTTGTAATAGAAGTTGAAGGAATGTGTTCATCCATATCTATATCTTATCTTTACTGAATTTTTTAAAATTGTTCAGTTTAGAATCGAACAATTTATTTTGTTTTTATTGCTGGAACCTGCAACTTCAAACGTATTTATTTCAACATTAAGTTTGTCTTTCCATGGACAGTGTAAACAAATAGTAGACACAGTTTATGTGTGTTCATCACAATAACATTATTTAAGAATAAGTGAGTGTGGTTTTACGCCTCTTTTAGCAACATTCCAGCAATATCGGGGAACACCAGAAATGGGCTCCATAAATCAATGTGGGGAACCGAACCCGGGAAGTCAGAGTGACAAGCGAACGCTTTAACCCCCAGGCAACCCCACCACCCTATTTTTTAATAATGTCATGTCCATCTTGTTCCGAGACATTCAGGAGGACACCGTTTGTTCATTGTCATATTCATATACCGTATATGAGTTGGTATTGGAATAATACATTACGTGAAAATAACGTATTCCCTTGCAATTTGATAAGCCAGAATATATCTACAGATTTGTCATTTTAAGATCAAAGATATGTCACTTATTTAGGTAAGGTAAAACTCCATATAATTTTGACATTTCCATTAACCATTTTTGGAAAGTATTTTATGCTGATCTTTATACGACAGCCTTCTTGTATTGTAATGTATACTACCAAACAGTTAAGTACTCTCCGAGTCTTTCATATTTCTACATATGTCTTTGTCATGATTTTCTATAGAAATATGAAAGAATCAAATGGTCCTTTAATTTTGTTGGTTTGTTTGTTGTTTTACGCCGCACTCAGCAATATTCAAGCTGTATGACGGCGGTCTGTACATAATCGAGTCTGGAATAGACAACCCAGTGATTGATATATTGAGCATCGATCTAGGCATTTGGGATACGATGACATGCATCAACCCAGTCAGCGAGTCTGACCACCCGATCCCGTTAGTCGCCTCTTACGACAAGCACAGTCGCCTCTTCCGACAAGCATAGTCGCCTCTTACGATAAGGACGAGTTGCTGGAGACCCATTCCAAACCGGATCTTCACGGGCGTGGTCCCTAACTTGGCATTACAGATTAACAATAGTAATATAAAAGAATCGGCTGGTCCTTAACTATATTTTACTAGTATATGTGAGAGTAAGTGTTTACTTTTAGAAATTTCGAAATTATTCGTTTGAATCGCGTACATCGCGTACATCGAAGTCATCTTTGGTGTAAATGATGGTTGGGCATCCTCTTTGGGAACACTCCAATGAATGGAAGTCGCGCCTAAGGGGATTTCGTTCCAGGGGGTTTTGTCCTAAGGGATGCATGAGGGCTTTTGTCCGTACACCCGCCGGCCCGATCGATGAAATTGCGCAGCGCGTCCAGCAGCGGGAACCCGTTTGAATCTGCAGGAAGGGGAATCCCCTTACTGGAGAATACGATTTCGCGTGTCGTTTTAATTGTCTTTCTTCCAATTTTCAAATTTAATTTTGGTGAAGCATTAATGATTAAGTACGCCCTAAAGTATAAAACTCTGCAATGTAGCCAAGAAGACCCAATATCGCAGTCAAGTTAGACGCAAGACAATGTAAACAAACGCACGTGTGCATTTGAATCTCTCATCGACAATACTACATCCTACACGTAGCAACATCAATTTATGCAACACAATTCTGTTATTCATGTATCTTGCAGTGTAGATCTGACAATGTAAATTCACCAATGTCTTAACACATATTGCCCTATTGATTTAAATAATCAGGATTGTATTGATCTAAGTACCCGAATCCTGCCGCGAATTCTGATTGGCTTGCTCCGTTTCAACTTATGACCACCATCGAAAGGGGAACGAGCCGTCTAGTAGTTTACGGAAAGAAGCGAGTGGTGACGACTGCAGTTTGCTGCATCTACCGCCGCTACCTCATTAGCGTAACTTCTAAAATAAAATCTCGGCTTGTCTCGGAACAATTTGAGTGGTCACGAAGGGAATCCTTCCCTGTTCTTGCTATCGTAGCATTTTGAAAGTGTTATTTGGTCTCTTGTTCATCCATTGCTACGGAATCAATGTTAAATTTGAATTTGCATTAGTATGTGGAAGGACACACGGACTCGGCTTTGACAAGTTGAACATTTATCTAACTATGCCGTATCCATATATCTATCCACAGAACATGTTCAATATCTCGCAGAATGATTGTGAAATTAGAAGTACATACCTCCAGCAATACCTGCTCAAATGAATCCCGAAATAATTCCGTTCAAAGTTAAAACATGTCTCCTATAGCAACCATATTTGAAATGACACTTTTGTCCATCATGCTGTTGTAAGTGCAGCATACCATTGAAAAATTTGAATCATTGAATGTGCGATATGTATTGACTGTATAAAATTATGAAGTGATTTGTCATACTTTTTGGTCAATTTGTAAGTGTTTTGGTGAGAAGTAAAGATGTAAAGTCACGTAAAAATAATTTAAACATATTTGATTAACGTCTTATTTATACAAATAAATGAGTATATATGCACATACACGCACACACATACACACAAACACAAACAACCACAGAGGTTAAAACGTTCACTCGTCACGCCGAAGGCCTAGGTTATTGGAATATTGATAAAAGCGCCGTAAAACCATACTCACTTACACTGATGTATAGGACCAAGTCCGAGGTGACCACCACTGACAAAGTCAGCAGCAGCGGCAGCAGCAAGGATGCGTCATCAGTGCCCAGTTCAGGGGGAACTGACAAGGCGAAGGACAAATCGGGGGAGGACAAGTCAGAAGGAAATATTCGGGCCCGAATAAAGGTCAGTACACGTGAACAGTAAAACCATGTTAATCCGGAAAACGTTAATCAGGAACCCTCGTTTTCCGATTTTTTCTTCTAGGACTCTCCAGGTATACTGGTACCAATGGGTCGTGTTCGTGGGATGTATGAAATCTCTCATATCATTGTTAGACCAACAGGTGATGGCGATGTTCAGTCTGTGTTAGTCATGTGTTGCGACCATATTTGCAGATGTTTGATCAATGTTGGTAGTGTGATACTTATATCATTGCTGCTAGCAGGTGATGCAGATGTTGGTGGCGATGCTGGTGGTGTTGGCGTGCTGGAACCATTGCTTATACCGTCGTTGTCCTACAGGTGATGCAGATGTTGGTGGCGATGCTGGTGTTGTTGGCGTGCTGGAACCATTGCTTATACCGTCGTTGTCCTACAGGTGATGCAGATGTTGGTTGCGATGCTGGCGTTGTTGGCGTGCTGGAACCATTGCTTATACCGTCGTTGTCCTACAGGTGATGCAGATGTTTGTGGCGATGCTGGTGTTGTTGGAGTGCTGGAACCATTGCTTATACCGTCGTTGTCCTACAGGTGATGTAGATGTTGTCGGCGATGCTGGTGTTGTTGGCGTGCTGGAACCATTGCTTATAACGTCGATGTCCTACAGGTGATGCAGATGTTTGTGGCGATGCTGGTGTTGTTGGCGTGCTGGAACCATTGCTTATACCGTCGTTGTCCTACAGGTGATGCAGATGTTGGTTGCGATGCTGGTGTTGTTGGCGTGCTGGAACCATTGCTTATATCGTCGTTGTCCTACAGGTGATGTAGATGTTGTTGGCGTGCTGGAACCATTGCTTATACCGTCGTTGTCCTACAGGTGATGTAGATGTTGTCGGCGATGCAGATGTTGTTGGCGTGCTGGAACCATTGCTTATACCGTCGTTGTCCTACAGGTGATGTAGATGTTGTCGGCGATGCTGGTGTTGTTGGCGTGCTGGAACCATTGCTTATAACGTCGTTGTCCTACAGGTGATGTAGATGTTGTCGGCGATGCAGATGTTGTTGGCGTGCTGGAACCATTGCTTATACCGTCATTGTCCTACAGGTGATGTAGATGTTGCTGGTGTTGTTGGCGTGCTGGAACCATTGCTTTTACCGTCGTTGCCCTACAGGTGATGCAGATGTTGGTGGCGATGCTGGTGGTGTTCGTGGTGAGCTGGGGCCCGATGCTGTTTTACCAGGTCCTCAAGGAGTTCGGCATCAAGCCTACACGGAACGAGGACATCTATCGCTTGACAGTTCAGTGCCTAGCCTTCTTCAACAGCAGCCTCAACCCTTACTTCTACATGGCCATGTCCTCGTTAGTACCCGGCTTCATCATGCTTTCTTCAAATAGACAGAGGGGCGGTCGGGTAGCCTTGTGGTTAAAGCGTTCGATCGTCACGCTGAAGACCCGGGTTCGATTCCCGACATGGGTACAATGTATTGTGTGAAGCCCATTTCTGGTGTCCCCCGCCGTGATATTGCTGGAATATTGCTAAAAGCGGCGTAAAACCGTACTCACTCACTCACTCACTCACTCAAATAGACAGAACATGCACCCCACGTGACACGCGACATAGCCTACCGATTGACTGTTTGCATTGGATCACCTTTACTAAACTGCACAGACTGTCCTGTTATACTAGAATCTGGCAGATTTATAGTTTCAGAGCTCTAATACACTCGACGTGTCCACGTGAAATACGTGATGTTTAGCTTCTCCCATGAAGGCGCCACACCCAGAGACACGGGCAGACGTCGGCAAAGGTTCGCGTGTCATGAAGCGCCATGAGCCAGTAATGTCCCTTATGTACGTTCCAAGGTCAAAACGCGTCGCGCATCTTGTTACCTTGTTGTGCCAAGGATAGGCTAAACCGGCACAGCGTCAGAACGTACCAAGTTTGTTGGACTAAAACGGTACCAGATGTATGTAATGACACACACAAAGATCTGTACAGAAAACTTAATTTATCATTCTCCATGTGCTTTTGTCCACGAAAAGCATAGTTTGTTTTTTTACAATAATATGAAACTTATAACACTTGTTTCATCATTCTCAAATTTAAGAGAGGTCTGCATCTCAACATTCGCACGTATATTATTATATTGTTTATTATCCCTACAATATCATATTAACAGTCCATTTTCAGCAGGATACTTGATAAATGGAGCCGTCTTCGAACGGTCATGATTTCTTTTTATTTGGTGACGCTTTCACTATATAAATGGGAATTCCCTTCTATACCAACATCCTTAATGCAAGGGTGTAATTTCAACACTCGTGTTTCTTTGATTTCCTGTGAGGGCAGATAACTCTTGACATTTCTTTGAGGGGAGATAACTCTTGATAATTCTTTCACAACAACACGACCACTCCATCCATCAAGCTCATCACCACTGGTTCCGTAACCAAGTATATTTAATTATTTTAGCTCTAAAGAATAGACAATAATAAAATTCAAGTGCTGACATTGAAATGATTTTTTAATGTGTATATCAATCCTGAATGAGACGAATCACTCCCGTGTGCGAGATACGCTAAAGTGTTATTATTACACGCTGAAAGCGCACGTTAAATCTCCGGTAAACCAACCAACCTGATTCAGGGTCCATTTGTAATATATATGTTTATAGACAGTTTCGGCATCAGTTCCGGAAACGACTCGGGAGATGTCTTGGACTGAAGGCGCTCTCTGGTGGCGATACAACTGTGGCAACATCGTCTACCATGTCGACGAGATACCAGAGCAATGTCTACTCCACAGATGCTTCTGGAAAGTCACGTGCATAGCAGCATGACAAGGCCTACGTGGTCTGCACGTGAAGGTATGATAAACAAAAAGCTAATGTTAAAAGGTATAGACTCATGGGCGGATACAGCTTTTTTGGAAAGGGGGGGTGCACAATTAAGATCTTTTTATTGTCTTTGGTGGTAATTTATACGGTCAGAAATAAAGATTTTTTTCGAAATAAAAAGGGGGGTGCGCACCCCCCCAAAAAAACCCCATTCCCCCCAAAAAACAAACAAACAACAAACCCCATCTCTCCCTTCCCCCTCCCCCCTCCTCCCTTGCGTTGTGAAAAATCGCGACGTGTAACGCTGACTCCCTGAAATGGTGGCGCATTGACTATATATCAATCTGTAATTTTTCATCCTGTTCTTTGCAGACACAGTGATGGGTGTGATGATGTTCTCGAAGACGTCTCAACGACGACGCGACGACGGATACACAATAGCACAACGTCACTCTCTAAGGCTAGCAGCAGCAACACTGTATTTCATGGGTTACAATGCACTCATCTCAAGTCGCCGTGCCATGTGCGTCCCTTAGACGTGCCAGGAACATATGATTGATTAGTACAAGTTGTCTTCCTTGGTCTGTCAGCACCCTGTCCGTGCTCTTGGGTTTAAAATCAAATCGCTACGTGTATCAGATCGCATCACATAGACTGTGTAGCAAAACTGTATAGCGAGAGTGTATAGCAAGACTAAGACCGTATAGCGAGACTGAAAGCAAAGACTAAAGGGGCATTCACACGGTAGAACTAGTTGTATACAATTTGTTGTACGAACTTAAGTTGTATACAACTAGTTTGTACCGTGTGAGTGTCCCTTAAGACAATATTGCATAGCAAAAGTGACTGAATATGTTGGGTCTAATGCCCCATGGTCTACAGCCCTCAAGTCTGGGATTGGAACCAAAGATCAGATAAGGGACACAACTCTGCATAAGATGTGGGCACATTAGATGACTTGGACATTCGTCTCCAACGCCACTATCCTCCCGTACCATACGCAGACATTCCCGTACTGACCCGTCCATGTGCTTATAGAATTAATTATGGATTGATATATGTCTTGAAAGGAATGTATGTACTTATGCAGTATGTAGTCCGTTACGTGGAACATTTCTTGAGCAAGTTTCGATGCATTATGGCCACAAAGATATATTGAAAGAAGCGTCATTCGCGTAAAATCACCATCGTACTGATCGCCTTATACATGCTGCCAAAAAAAGGGCCGCTAAAGGCGGGATTCAAGGACAACGCACGCACGCACGCACGCACGCACGCACGCAATCACACACACCTCCCGCCTCCACCCTTCATAAAACGTCAAAGTATGATACTGACCCCCTTAGCCAGATCTGCGTAAATTGAAAAGGTGCAAATCTTCAAGTTTTTTTAAATGAACTGAATTGATATTTTTCAATTATGTAGTGTGTCCCTCCCTCCTTTTTATGCATACTAAGCGTTAAAAAGTATAAAAACAAACTATTGAATCATATGGGTGACATAAACTGAGGGGCAAAACAAAGTATGCCGAGTTTGTTTTTTATGTAATGAAACTTGAAACAACTGTTTTTAAATTTGATTATGTAAAATTAATCATCACTCATTCCTGCTACAATTTGTAACATGTAATCTGTGGCTGGGTAATTTTGTGTAAAAAAATTGGTTCAATGGAGACTGGGGTAAGAAATTAATTTGCCATCGCATGACCTCAACCATGTAAATTTGTTTCGAAATTGCAACTTGATTGTTTTTCAAAACTAAGATGTCTAAGACATCAATCAGCTCTTTTTTTAAATTTTAAAAGTTTAAAATCAAATCATATTTTAAAAAATAAAACCATGTTGAAGTATTCTTTGAGTGCTGACTAAGGGCCAGTACAGTTTTCTTTTATATGATGTCGCTAACTTAAGATATTTTAAATTGAAAATCAAACATATGATATAATCAACTGAGAGGTATAGTTTCTTTAGCTTTTTGGTTTATTTTCAACACAATTTACATTTAATTGCCCATATTTTCTTATTACTAAACGCGATTTTTGCTCGAATTATGTACATTTGTTCACAATGTTGTATGCTAAATGCACCCCTACTTTTCCAAAACGCAGTTTTTCCACGCTCAGATATTATGCGCCGCGATTCGCTGTGCAGAATTGCGTCCCCTGGACACACCAGAAACCTATGATTGTGGGTTCGAATCCCGGTTCACCCCGATTATGTTTCTAGGTTTGTCAGCACCATACCCGTGCTCGTGAGTTTCACTGAAGTGGTAAACGTCTGAGACCTGCATCACTTCGGGCTTTCCTCCCACATCAAGCTGACACGCCGTGATATAACTGGAATAATGTTAAAAGCGGCGTTAAACCCAACTCACTCACTCACTCACTCACTCACTCACTCACTCACTCACTCACTCACTCACTCACTCACTCACTCACTCACTCACTCACTCACTCACTCACTCACTCACTCACTCACTCACTCACTCACTCACTCACTCACTCACTCACTCACTCACTCACTCACTCACTCACTCACTCACTCACTCACTCACTCACTCACTCACTCACTCACTCACTCACTCACTCACTCACTCACTCACTCACTCACTCACTCACTCACTCACTCACTCACTCACTCACTCACTCACTCACTCACTCACTCACTCACTCACTCACTCACTCACTCACTCACTCACTCACTCACTCACTCACTCACTCACTCACTCACTCACTCACTCACTCACTCACTCACTCACTCACTCACTCACTCACTCACTCACTCACTCACTCACTCACTCACATATTATGTGTAGAGGTTCCCCCGGATCATCGCCTACATGGATCATAATATTCTCGTACACCGTCGTCTAATGTTTTTAATGTTAATTGTGTGTACCGTTATATGTTTATGTTATTAATTGTTATAACTTGAAGATATAATAAACTATAATTAGTGTATTCGTTGTGTTTTAATTAGGCCAGTCAGTACATATGATATAAAGTACATGCATGCTCAAATATCCTTTAATTTTGAAAATGGGTACCAAAAGCCATAACTATGGAACGGGAAAAGCAGTGCTCCCTATGGGGCTATAGACAAGTTTCACAGCACTGTATAAGAGGCGACAGGAGGGGTTAGATGGTGACGCTGGTTTGGCTGATTTGTTGTCTTAATAACCCGACGTGGTGGGATGTTGCTAATGATGTCAATCACTGGTTTGTCTGGTCCAGACTCGGTTATCTACAAACCGCTGTGATATGGCTGGAATATTGTTGACTGCGGCGTAAAACAACAAACAACAAGAAAAATGTCTCATGACCCTGACGGAGAACGTTTTCGAATAATCGGGGCGTCGGGATGAGTGGTCAAAGCGGTCTCGCGAGATACAATATTGCTTGGGTCCAATTAAAATTCAATCCAATGATTGATATGATGAGCAACAATCAACGCCGTCTGGATACGAGGACTCGCTGAACTACGTCGCCGAGCTTACTACACTCTTACGACCAGCATGAATTTCTGAGGACAATTCTAACCCGGAATACCAATGGAGCCAAAATTGCAGTCTAGAAGCTATCAGTGTTAAATTAATTTGACCGTTTTCACAATATAATAAGAGAATACCCAATGCGTTACGGTTAATTACACATTAATAATAATAATTGCAGTTACAAGGCGCCAAATTCCACTCATCAAGTGAGTGTCGATGGAGCTACGGTATTATTATCTCGATCAGAGTGCACTCGGATTTTATTCTCATCTCCCTGGGGAGTATACAACCCAAGCTGCCTGTGAGGCCCTAGAAGATTAACAATCACATTACCATCTCATCCTTCGGGGTACCCATTCACCGCTGGGTAAATAGTCATTTCACGAACAAAGTCACTTGCCAAAGGAGACTCCGAATGTGCCACGTGTGCTTCGGTAGGGCAGGATAGAAGCCCTAAAAAAGCTAAAGGGTCCAAGCTGCCGAAAACTGTCACCCATCTAAGGAATCTCCGCGACTTTATGCCGCTAGTGAATGAATCTTTGAGCCCCGAGTCTTACGGCAATGGTCCGTACTTCCGAGTTCTAGTAGGATATTCTAAAAAATACTCATTGCCATTTGATGAGAAAAAAGAAAGAAAGAAAAGCGTAGTATCATCAATTTGTAACGTCATGAACAATGGAGTGAGTGAGTGAGTATGGTTGTACGTCGTTTATAGCAATATTCCAGCAATATCACGGCGGAGGTCACCAGAAATGGGCTTCACACATTGTACCAATGTCGGGAATCGAACCCGGGTCTTCGGCTTGAGGAACGAACGCTTTAACCACTCGGCTACCCGACCGCCCCGAACAACGGATGACTTCAGAACTTATATGTGATGATGCTTAAACGGACTTATCAGCATTGGGTATCGCTGAAATGTCGATGCTGTAATTTGTGCTGCAGTAACCTCTTTGTCTCGTTCAGTAGGACCGCGTGAGTGGTGTAGTGGACGGAACGCCTTCCCGGAGAGTGAAAGGTCGGTTGTTCGATCCCCGGCCGCTTCATGCAAAAAGACTTTAGTGTTCGACCTTAAGGGGCTAAATCAAGGACTGGTCGGCTTGGAGTCAGTATACTGTGTCTGAGTGGGGTATTCATGTTAAACTGCGGCATGGTATCTCAGTGGGCTAGTACTATAAAACCGGTGTTAGTCCGGTCTTGTACAAGCAGCCACACACACACACACACACACACACACGCACATGCACGCACGTACGCACACGCAGACGCGTGTATGCACGTCGCTATAAATGCACTAATCTTGAACGCGACGTTAAACACCATTTCACTTCACCTCCAGGGGGTCTGGAACTCCCCACTCCCCGTAAGTTGATGACTAAACGCACGTGTAACGTCATGAATAAATGACACATGTAACTTGTTCAATAAACGGCATGTGTAAGTTGATGAATAAACGACATGTGTAAGTTGATGCATACACGGCATGTGTAAGTTGATGAATAAACGCAAGTGTAAGTTGATCAATAAACGCATGTGTAAGTTGATGCATACACGGCATGTGTAAGTTGGTTGCGGTGTGTTGGATCGACATGCAGAATTCCTCAGTGAAATGTTAAGCGTCCTTCCATCGATAGAGTATGTAGTCCTGTCTAGACAGCTCCCTCACTCACTCAGCTATTTAGCTCACTCACTCACTCACGCCTGTCCGTATGTTGAAAGCAATGGAAGATGTCCAAGCATCGATGAGTACAAACAACATGAGCTCTATGTGATTTATTCAATTCAAGATTAAGTCGAAAGCATTGCGTTCATACAAAATATATTCATTTCGGAGCAGATAAAACGAAACCATTTCTGCTGAATGTGTTACAATTCGCTACACTAGTGACAAGACTGGTGGTTATTCGCCACCGGTAGCAGTTAGGCATGGTGTTACTCTTGACCAGAAGTGGCTTCGGATACCAATGGCAACGAGACCCTGGAATAAAGAGGGAAAAACTTTGGAAACAAGGGTAGAAGACATCAATCTCATTAAAATCAGATCTAAGTTCTCGCTACCGCTAAACAAAGATCTGAGGACATCCCATTGCGGGTCAACGACCTTTCATCTGGCCAATCAGAGCATCGCTTATCAGATCATGAAAGTGACAGTTGAAATGTGATTTTTGATCGTGCAACCTCGAGAAAACACTCACAGGATATTCCGAACGACAGTTACGGCTTTTATGTCTGTATTCATACAATCTAGACCATCTACTAGCCAATCCAGAATGTTCTTTTATTCAGCTTTTATTTTTTTAATCGAGTATATGGCAAAATATGTTTCGAAGCGTAGTCGCCAGTTTGAAACTCGTGCCGTAAAGATCGATTAAGCTGCCTTCTGATTGGCTATTGTCGACCTCTTGTTAGTCATTCCATTGGTCGGTCAAAGTTCGCGAAAGGTCGGTCTGACGTGACCCGTAATGGGATTGGGAAGACATTAAACTAATCGGTACTGGAAAGTATACAATGTAAGTACACGTACAGTGTACGCTCCAAACTCCAAACCGATTGTTTATGATCCTCGACTAGGAGGTCGAGTCAGGTGAACCCTGAACGAACTTTGACCTCCCAATCTAAATGAAGGTTGGGTAGGTTATTTAACCAGATGTCAGCTTTCGAAATCGTTTCGGCTTCGTGTCCTTATCACCTCGTTAACAAAATAGGGGCGGTCGGGTAGCCTAGTGGTTAAAGCGTTCGCTCGTCACGCCGAAGACCCGGGTTCGATTGCCGTGATATTGCTTGAATATTGCTAAAAGCGGCGTAAAACCATACTCACTCACTCACTCACTGAACTAAATATATCCCACATCGAAATTAAATATACCCTCGATAGTAACCATTTCGGGTTTAGATTTCATGGCGCTCAGGTACCGCCTCCGTGGTCTAGTGTTAGAGCGTCCGCCCGGAGAGCGAAAGGTCAGGGGTTCGATCCCCGACCGCGTCATATCAAAAGACGTTAAAAGATGGTACTTGTTGTTACCCTGTCTGGCGCTCGGCATTAAGGGGCTAAAACAAGAACTAGTCGGCTCGGAGTCAGTATACTGTGTCTGAGTGGGGTATTCATGTTAAACTGCGGCATGGTATCTCAGTGAGCTAGCACTATAAATCGGCATCAGTCCGGACTAGTACAAGCAGCCACACACACACACACACGTGCATGCACGTCGCTATATAAGTGCAATAACCCCATTTCACCTCACCACCATGGCGCTCAGGGTGTTTAGGATATCCACAACAACATAACAGTGCGCCCTAATCATATTATTAAGAGACGTTGACTCACCTACCGTGTTCGCTATCCATCACTGGTACGGCATGACCTGCAACATAAGGTACTTTTGTCACTATCCTCTCTTGGAAGGAATAACTCCCCAGTACATGTCCTTATCCGTAGCTAACTGGACAGAGTGGGCGGGATCGGTGACTTCATCGACGTCCATAATATCAATCACTGGCTTGACTTGTCCAGACTCAATAATATACAACCCGCCATAAATCTGGAATATTGGTGGGTGTCTCATTCTCTGTCACACTCTTTCTATATATGACTCTGTGTGTGTGTGTGTCTCTCTCTCTCTCTGTGTTTCTCTCCCTTCTTCGCCCTCTGCCTTTCTGTCTCTGTGTCTCTCTCTGTCTCACTCTCTCTGTGTCTCTCTCTGTGTCTCTCTCTGTGTCTCACTCTCTGTGTGTCTCTCTCTCTGCCACACTCTGTGTCTCTCTCTGTGTCTCTCTCTCTGTCTCACTCTCTGTGTGTCTCTCTCTGTGTCTCACTCTCTCTGTGTCTCTCTCTCTGCCACACTCTCTGTGTCTCTCTCTGTCTCACTCTCTGTGTGTCTCTTTGTGTGTCTCTCTCTGCCTCACTCTCTCTGTGTCTCTCTCTCTGTCACACTCTCTGTCTCATTCTCTGTCTCATTTTCTCTATCTATGTCTCTCTGTCTCACTCTCTGCCTCATTCTCTCTGTGTGTGTCTCTCTCTCTGTGTCACTCTCTGCCTCATTCTCTGTCTCTGTCTCTCTTCGTCTCTCTACATGTCTCTGTCTCACTCTCTCTCTCTACATGTCTCTCTGTGTCTCTCTCTCGTTCTCTGTCTCTCTCTCTCTCTTCGTCTCTCTACATGTCTCTGTCTCACTCTCTCTCTACCTGTCTCTCTGTGTCTCTCTCTCGTTCTCTGTCACTCTCTCATCGTCTCTCTACATGTCTCTGTCTCACTCTCTCTCTACCTGTCTCTTTGTGTCTCTCTCTCCGTCTCTGTATCTCTCTATGTCTCACTCTCTCTCTCTATATGTCTCTGTCTCTCCGTCTCTCTCTCTCTCTGTCTCACTCTCTCTCTGTATCTCTGTATCCTCTCTTCTATATGTCTGTCTCTCGTTCGCCGTCTCTCTGTGTGTCTCTCTCTGTCTCACTCTATACATGTCTCTCTCTGTGTCTCTCTCTCCCCGTCTCCTCTGTCTCTCTGTCTCTCTCTCTTTTAAATACATTTCAACTCACGGTGACACTCTCTGTCTCATTCTCTGTCTCATTTTCTCTATCTATGTCTCTCTGTCTCACTCTCTGCCTCATTCTCTCTGTGTGTGTCTCTCTCTCTGTGTCACTCTCTGCCTCATTCTCTGTCTCTGTCTCTCTTCGTCTCTCTACATGTCTCTGTCTCACTCTCTCTCTCTCTACATGTCTCTCTGTGTCTCTCTCTCGTTCTCTGTCTCTCTCTCTCTCTCTTCGTCTCTCTACATGTCTCTGTCTCACTCTCTCTCTCTACCTGTCTCTCTGTGTCTCTCTCTCGTTCTCTGTCTCTCTCTCATCGTCTCTCTACATGTCTCTGTCTCACTCTCTCTCTACCTGTCTCTTTGTGTCTCTCTCTCCGTCTCTGTATCTCTCTATGTCTCACTCTCTCTATATGTCTCTGTCTCTCCGTCTCTCTCTCTCTGTCTCACTCTCTCTCTGTATCTCTGTATCCTCTCTTCTATATGTCTGTCTCTCGTTCGCCGTCTCTCTGTGTGTCTCTCTCTGTCTCACTCTATACATGTCTCTCTCTCTGTCTCTCTCTCCCCGTCTCCTCTGTCTCTCTGTCTCTCTCTCTTTTAAATACATTTCAACTCACGGTGATACCGGGTTCTGAAGACAACACTTAAGTAACAGCCAGCCACTCTTATCAGCACAGGGGTCTCCTTGCAGACTGAGTTCCACCATGACACACACCAGCAGCAGGGTCACAGCTACCCGGAGCAGGGTCTGCAACCAACCAGGAAACAGCATTACAGAGACGGAATAACCTGGGTCTGTCACCGCTGTGATCAGTGTTCCAGTTACATTAAAGCATGTCATGTCATTGGTGGAGAAAGAAAGAGATGCAGGCTGGTGTTTATCATATTGGTGAAACCCACAAAACACGGCCACGGTGCTGACAAATCAAGGGTTAAGATCAAGGAAAATCCTAGATTCAAACCATCAGCGAATCCTGACACAACCCGAGGGAAACTACTCTGCACAAATGTTGAAATTGCATGAATGTCGATAAAGGGAAAATGTTTAGTTACAGTCACCTTGCAGTAAACCAAGGAAACTATTGACTATCGAATTACATGAAGAATTAGCCATTCAAAAATATAACCGCTGTTAGCTCTTTCCTCGTGACAAGAAAGTCCAGCGAACTGATAAATTTGTTTTTTGCCCCGGTGGAGAGAAAACAAGACAATGCTATTGAATAAAGCGTGTCATAACGTTCTTGAAACTGCTTATGAACTCAAATTGTTTCTTAAAATAGATAGATAGATAGATAGATAGATAGATAGATAGATAGATAGATTGTAGATAGATGGATGGAGGATGGATAGATAGATCTCTAGATGGGTGGATAGAAAGATAGATCGTATATGGATGGTAGATAGATAGATCGTAGATAGATGGATAGATAGACAGATAGATAGATGGATAGATCATCGTCACCTACCATCATGATGAATGGTTCAGCGTGTTGAGGTAGAGCAAGTAAACGATGTGTGAACGACTTGCTGATGTTCAGCACGTGTGGCACAACAGTCGGTCTTTATAGAAAAGTAGAAGAGGCGTGTCAAATAATCGTATCCATATATGGCATCGTCCAATCGGAGCCTACTTCACCAGCCAAGTACATTTCTCCCAGTAGTGTTTGGTTCAGTTGTAATCGAGATTAGTGTGTTAGTTTTGCTACATGGGTCGTTATATAGGCCACGCATGTACAATGCAATATAGACACTATACGGAACAGTAAAATTCACCCTTGAACCGTGACGTTGTATGTCAGAATGTATACCCCAATTTCTGTTTTAGGAGTATAGTTAAGAAAACATGTTCATGTTACTTTTTGTGACAGACGCATTTTTACTTATGAATACCATATATATGGAGATTTATATGAAGACTTATATAAATTAATTCGATCAGAATTTCAGCTTCATTGCGATTTCCTCTTACAGAACCTGCACACAGATATTAATTTCTCGCCTAGCCTAATTTGGTTCGTGTAAATCATCGTTACATTGTTGCTAATTTTATTTTGATTACATTATAATGTTGTGTAGATATTATAGAGTGTCACTGTACAGACGTCAGCGCTATGTGTGCCAAGAGTATGAAGCAGTTCACGAGAAAATATATGTATATTTTGTAGTTTTCGATCATGATCAGTAGGATCTAAAAGACACATACGTCAGTTGATTCGTGATTTATAAGCCACGTTATGAGTATTTCGTTCGAGTAAAAAATGCAAATATAACATAAATGAATACAATTTTGCGTCAATCGTATAAGAAATGTTTGTTTGTTCCTTGTTTAACGACCCCCTCAGCAATATTCCAGCTAAATGACGGCGGCCTGTAAATAATCGAATCTGGATCAGACAATCCAGTGATTGACATCAATCCACGCAATTGGGATACGTTAACATGCATTCAACCAAGTCAGCGAGTCTGACCACCCGATCCCGTTAGTCGCCTCTTACGACAAGCATAGTCGCCTTTTACGGCAAGCATGGGTTGCTGAAGACCTATCCTACCCCGGATCTTCACGGGTCCTTATACGAAATGAAACAACACACACGCTAACATGTCGTGTTGCCCCCATGCATCGGTACCAACACAGTAAAATACCAACTAAAATAAGGGGAAAGAAAGTGTACCGTGGTTTTTTGTGTGTGTTTTTTTATGTAACTAAACATTGAAAGAAGTGTTGTTAACTTTGATTATGTCTGTTTAACCACCAGTGATATCTGCAACCGTTTGTAAAAAGTAATCTGGTGTAAAAATGTATTGGTTCAATAAAGACTTGGTTAAGAAATGAAATTTGCAACTACATGACTCCTACAATGTTTGAAAAAAACAATCATTTATTTTCAAAGATAAGATGTCTAGGATACCCATCAGAAGTGGTGCTTTATGCGATTTTTTTTTTAATTTAAAAAAAATTAAGTCAAATATATGTTAGGAAATAAAACCATGTGGAAGTATTCTTTGTGTGCTGACCAAACGCCAGTACAGTTCATTTCTGGGACATAACATCGCTAAATATCGATATTTTCAATTGAGAAAATATATATTCTGAACCCACATGTCCACGAACCTTTCCCCAAACCAAGTAATCTGTTTGTTGATTTCATATGTTTGCATAACCTATTGACCACGGTCTCCACACGAACAAGCACACATGCACGTATATACCGACCCGGGGTACAGTGTAAGGTTAATTTGCTTAGCCTATAAATACACACTTCAAGATCAACGGTCCATAGATGAAATACAGTTGTACGCTAGACGATATCAACACGGGCCATAGGTGTAATGGTCTCGGTGAAACGGTTAACGCTATGCTTGCGACGCACTTGGCGATGTCGTTGAGGGGACAGCGCGATACGTCGAGGACTTCACACATGATGTAGTCACTAATTTCTTTGACACCAGTTGTCAGTATATTACGGTAGTCGGCTGTATTTAACGTTTCAGATACTATCATCATCATCATCATCATCCGATACCAATAATACTAATACTACATATAAATACTGCTAATAGGCCTTCTTAGACGTAGAATATTGTGCTGCGTTAAGCAACTACTACTTCTACTACTACTACTACTACTACAACTACTACTACTACAATAATAATATTAATAATAATAATAATAATAATAATAACAACTTTTCTAGGGAGTAAACTACTTATACCACAGATTTGCAATAATATTCATCGTCATACCCTACCGGGTACCCAGCCTTTGCTGGGTGAATCGAGGCAAAACGAAAGTTAATTATCACAGTTAGTTAAAACACCGCTACTGCCATTCGTTTCATGTGATTGAATTTACTGTTACAGAAAAAAAGATGTAAAACATAGTTTGCGAGTGGGTCAAGCTTTACGCAGCTTTAAGCAACATTCAGCCATATGAGAGGAGGGGGCACCATAAATAGCCTTCACGCATTGTACTCATATCGGGAATCGAACCCGGGATTTCGGCGATAAACATAGAAATCAACTATAAAAGATAAAAGTTCATGACAAGAATATATACCTGCCTTCAATGCAATCCTTTAGCAAGACATCAGCTGCAGAGAAGCAACCTTTGAGGTATTGCCTCCAATATGGATGTCGGCCCCGGCCATGTCGTAATGTCAGAGGTCCCAGACTTGCCTATGATATATAGGGAGTAGCAGTGAAACTATACCTCTCAGTGGATTTTATCATATGTTTGATTATAATTGGAAATTTCTTAATTATATACAAAAAATTAGCTGTATTTGCTGTATTAGTCAGAAAACGAAAAACTTTAAAAAACTAAAAAGAAAATATCGCACAATACACAACAGCTTATGTATATCTTATCTTTAAAATTAAATAATTTTGCTTTTTTAGGCAGAAATTAACATTTCAAACATTGCACAGGAGTCATGTGGTAGCAGTTGCAAATTCATCTCACTGCCCAATGTTCTTTGAATAAATTAAGTTTTACACAAGCTTACCCAGCCACAATTTACTTTTACAAGCTGTTACAGGAATGAGATATGGTTATATCAAATTTCAGTTTCATAATAAATATGTTATACGTTGAGCTCGTTATACGTTCTTTTGCCGTTGTTTTGTTCGCATTGATGTGCTCAAATTTGCATTTTAATTTTTTTATTTAGGGAAATTATTTCGTCTATTCTCGAAAGCATATATTCCCTCAAAATAGCAGAGGATAATGAAATATAAATGTTATGATCGGTCGTCAGAAGAATTCGGCTTTGAAAAATGACTGCCAGAGGTAGAATGGTTTAGGAACCAAAACTTACGGCCCAAACACACTCAAAACATTGCACGTGGACTATGCAATTCCTCCGTGCACGTTGGTAGGGGTCATTCTTGATTTGGACACTTCAGTGAATGGTCGTCAAATCGCTCTATAACATAAGTATTGGTGATTAATGTTATTTACAGTAACACGTAAGCTCTTGCTTTAATGGGGGGCACGGGTGGCCCAGTAGTCTAAGGCGCCGCGATTCGATGTGCTGAGTTGCGTCCCTTGGCCACGCCAGAAACCTATGATCGTGGGTTCGAATCCCGGTTCGCCCCGATTATAATTCTAGGTTTGTCAGCACCATACCCGTGCTCGTGGGTTTCACCGAAGTGGTAAACGTTTGAGACCTGCATCACTTCGGGCTTTCCTCCCACATTAAGCTGACACGCCGTGATATAACTGGAATACTGTTAAAAGCGGCGTTAAACCCAACTCACTCACTCACTCTTGCTTTAATGTAGTATTTGTGTTCAGACTTGGAATACGGTGTCTACAACGTGATGAATACTTTTGGCCTGCTTCAAACTGGTAGACTTCAACGACAGATAACAAATATGTCCCATGTGTCTCAACCTTTGGTTGGTGGACTTTGTAACAGATTTCTACGGACACAAACTGTTACTGATCGGCCCCGCTAGGGACACCCTAGGTCAAGAACACAAGTCCAGGACGATTTATCAGAAACCAGGCTTTAAGAAATCGATCCCAAACAGCCAAATCTCAGTTCACTTGCGTCAGGTCACCAGTGTTCAAGTTACTGACCAGAAGATTAGAAATCGCCTGTATGCTCGGCGACCACGTGTTGTACCACGGTTAACAATCGACACATTCTAACCAGACACCAATCGTGTTTAGAGGGTAGAAACTGGTGATGGCCGATGGTCTCGTGTAATGGTTTCAGTTCAGTCCAGAGTCTCCTTGGACGTTCTGGATAGTTGCGAACGTGTCTGAGGGCGCCCTAAAGGAGGCCGTGCGAACGTCAACGTAAGGCAACATAGCTGATTTCCGGGTATCTTCCCGAAGCAAGATGCTTAACTGACTGTAAAACTCAAGTTCCCACCCTTGCCGAACTTGGCTGGTATTATGAAGTTACATTTTCAATTTTTGGCTGGGCTAACGAGTCTATGCATAGTCCAATCAAAATCGCGCAACGAAATCGAAATCCGGTTCGTAAAGTGTCGTGCAGATTTCGGTCGATTGCAGGATTTGCAAAGCATGTGCATCGCCAACTCGATGTTAACAGATATTTTCCAAATCTTTTCATGTTTTTAATCAAGGTGCTCACGTGATTGGATGCATTTCGCGATGTAAGGCCAGTTTTATCACAATATAGACCTTGATTATGGATCAGATCGTCATGACTGGGCGCCGCCATTTTGTTTGAAGCAAATGCAAGTGATACGACAGGTGGAATCTTTGGAGAGGCTTAGAAGGGACATAACTCGTTAGAGCCACTGGTGGCGCTACGATCGAGCCAAGGAATTCCAGCCTAGTTCGGCAAGGGTGGAAACTGGTTAACTCTCTTGCCTCGGGAAGATTATATGGGGGGGGGTGGTCTGTAATGATATGGGGGGTGGTCTGTAATGATATGGGGCGGGATCACTATCTTGTCCATGGAAGGGTTGCTGCAGTACTACCGAGACGGTTGTGCCGTTTCCGCGCCATGCTGGTCCACGTTGTGTCCCTCAAGACGATAACGCTCGTGTCCACCGTGCATGTATTGTAACTGACCACCTCTAGCAGCAATGAATGAATTGATCAGCCATGGGTCGCGACCTTTCCACCCAAAAGC